GTGGAATGAAAAGTTTGTGGGGTGTTCCCACAGTCACAATTAGTCAAACCAGCTCCAATTCGTATTTCCAATATTGGCACCTGCCGTGGTTAGTTCGGATCTGGTTATCCAGTTTTTCCTTGGAGGATCAAAGCTGGAGGGTCATTGTACTGGATCAAACAAACAGATCTGGGTTAGAAGGTGCACATTCCTGGTGCCATACTCTCTCAATATCAAAGCCTTCTCTGACTAATTGCTTAGAACAGAGATGGTGAACCTTTTTTGGCTTGTGTGCCATAAGGGGAGGAGCACGGGGGGTCGTTCCTGGGCGTGCTGCACCCATAATACAACACTCGCTCCCCCCAGTACAGATGTGCGCATGAGGCACTCCCCTCATTTTTTGCATGCTTTTTTCGCCTTCCCTAGGCTACAGATGCTTTATAGGAGCCTGGGGAGGGCAAAAACAGCCTCCCCCACCCCCCGGCGGCCCTCCAGAAGCTTCAGGGACCTTCAGGAGTCACTTCCAGTTTGCTGGTAGGGCTATTTTTAGTCCTCCGGAGGCTTCAGGAAGCCTCCTGAAGGTCCCTGGAGCCCCCAGAGGGCTTAAACCGACCCTATGAGCAAACAGGAAGTGACTTCCAGTTTGCTCGTAGGGCCGTTTTTAGTCCTCTGGAGGCTTCAGGGAAGCCTCCTGAAGGTCCCTGAATCCTCCGGAGGGCTTAAACCGACCCTACGAGCAAACTGAAAGTCCCTTCCCAAACTTCCGATTTGCCCATAGGAAGCCCCTGAAGCCTCTGGAGGGCTTCTGGGGGTGGGTGAGGTTCTTTTCACCCTCCCCAGGCTCCTATAAAGCATCTGGAGCCTGGGGAGGGCAAAAAATGGCTTTTAAAAAGGCTGAACTCAGCTGACCAGTGCGCGCATGTGCAGTGGCCAACTGACAGAGCAACACCACGCGTGCCCTGACAAATGCGTGCCATAGATTCGCCATCCCGGGCTTAGAGGTTTCCACCGCGGGTGCCAAGATTTGAGTCTGAGTATTAGATTGTGACAGTCAAGGGTCACTCCTAAATACTTTGGATTATGATTGAACTTCAGCAGCTGGTTCCTAAATTTCACTTTTGGTGTATAGTTAGCTTGCCTATTGTTCAAGTGAAAACATGCAATTTCAGTTTTGTTAATGTTGGGTTTCAGCCTACAGATTTCAAAAAACTTACTCATTTTTTTTTAAAAAAAATCATTTTTGAGGGCTTTTTCAGAAGTATTAAAGTCTTCATATTATTTTATCAGCATGATGTCATCAACATATAAAAACTTTCTTTCAGCAATACCTAGTAGATTGATGTGTATATATTAAAAATAGTGGAGCCAGCATAGAACATTGTGGCAAGTTGTCATTTAACCTATACTTACGGCTAATTTGACTATCTAGATCTGTGATGACTAATCTATGGCACACGTGCCACAGGTGGCACGTGGAGCCATTTCTGAGGGCAGGTGAGGCGTTGCCCTGTCAGCTCCAGTGCATATTGGCAAGCTGATTTTCGGCCTTGATTTTTTGTCGTTTTTCTCCCTCCGGAGCTTCAGGGAAGCCTCCTGAAGCCTCCAGAGGGCGAAAAATGGCCCAACGCGCAAACTGGAAGTTTGGGAATGGACTTCTGGGTTGCACATTGGGCTGTTTTTTGCCCTCCGGATGCTTCAGGGATGTTCGTTCCTGAACTTATGGTTTGCATGTTGGGCCATTTTCCGCCCTCAGGAGGCTTCCCTGAAGCTCCGGAGGGCGGAAAACGGCCCAACGGGGCCCACCGGAATTTCACTAACCAATTTCTGGGTTGCCTGTTGGGCTGTTTTTCTCCCGCTAGAGGCTTCAGGAGGCTTTCCTGAAGTCTGAGAAGGGCAAAAAACAGTCCAACACACGCCGTGGAAGTCTGGAGGCTTCAATGAGGACTGTAAGCATGCACGCAGGTGGTGGTGGTTGTGCGTGCATGTGCACGGGAGAGCATTGCATTATGGGTGTTGGCACACACGTGTGTGACTCCCCTGCTCCCCTCGCTTTTGGCACGCCTCGACAAAGGTTAGCCATCACTGATCTAGATGTACTTCAATGTATCTGTTTGAAAGCATAGTGCTGAGTAGAACAGCTGTTTTCTTACAAGGCACAATGAGTAAAAATTTTAGAATCATCCCTTCTAGCCATGACTGCCACCTGTTCAATCAGCAGGAGTTGTGAGTCTAGGAGGATCCCCAGATTGGGCATCAGGTCTGTCTAGAGCAGTATAACCCATGCAGCAGTAAAGAATAATAATTGTAGCCATCATTAAACCTGATAAGGAGGGGAGATCTGTAGATTTCAGACCTATAGCGCTCTTAAGCATTTATTACAAATTACTTATCTTAAACATCTTAAACGTGACCGAGGAACATATATCTATAAAACAGGATGGATCACAAACTACTGCAGTCAGATATTATCACTAACCTCCCACATAGAAAATGGATTTCAGCAAAGACAAAAAATATGTCACTGTGTCCATCAACCTACCATTGGCCTACCATACAGTGTGGAGAGAAGGGCATTTGCACAGCTTTTTCTTGTGTACCAATTGCACCTGCTCTTGAATTGGCAGGCCTTATTCATGGTTACTCATGCCGTAGTCCCCTCCAGATAGGACTATTGCAATGTGTTCTACATGGGTTGTACTTGGAGAACTTCAGTGTTGTGGGCAGCTACAATGGTCGTGGGATAGTTACATGTACTCCTACAACAGTGCATGTCAACACTTTGCTCTATGATCTGCTTTGGTTGCCAATTTGATTCTGAGTCCAATTCAAGGTGTTGTATTTTTACCTTTAAAGCTTTTCAGGGCATTTCATGGGTTATTTAAGTTACATCAGTCTGCCCCAATAGATCTGCCAGAGAAAGCATTTATTTGTTAAATTTATTGATTAAATTTATTTGTCACCCATCTCAATCACAAGATGACTCTGGGTGGATACTATATCAGCTATGTTTGGTGGGTCTCAGGAGATGTGCCTTCTCTGTCACCGGCCTGCCTTATGGAACATTCTTCCCACTGAAATTAAACATAATTATATTATGCGAGCAGGAGGGGACAGGAGGAAGGAAGGAAGGAAGGAAGAAAGAAAGGAAGAAAGGAAAATATTTCAAATTTAACTTAGCACCTAATGAAAAATATTCTGGTTTTAAAGACTAGAAATTTAAATTTCTAGCCTTTAAATTTAAAGAATATTGATTTATTTA